CTCTAGGACAAAGTATGCAGGAGGAGAAGCATGGCAAAGTTGAGATGACTTGGATAGGAAACGAATCACAATAGTGTGCATTGCACACTGATTATTGATACTGGCTGATATGAAACGTTTAAATCGTGATACATTTTTCAGTTCAACCCCAACAAAAACCTAAAAACAGGCAATTGTATTCTCATCCACCTTTCAGTGAGAGATACTTAGCTCCTGTARTGAAACACAGATTTAATCTAACACTTCATGGTTTTCATTGTGTGTCTGGATTAACGTCTGRGCAGCATCCTGCCAATTTATACACGTTTTCTCACATTCAGCCACTCAGTTCATGTCAGGACAAGCTTGTTAAAGCTTATTGAAATGAGCTGTTATAAAAACAGGCTCCTGTGCTGCAGCACTGACTCACTCAGAGAACTGACTGCCTGGAAACAGACAAACATCATTTGAAGAAGATTAAATCACATTTTTAACCTTTCTACAGAAGAGGCGGAGCTAAAGGCCAACATCCCATGTGACTCGTTGTGCTGGATGGAGATAACTACTGCAGACTAGTTATCTGATACAGGTGAGTCAAAAGTCTCAGGACATGCTTTTATTTTTATTTATTTAGAAAAAATAAGGAAAGTGAGCTATTTGAAAACCCCAGCAGCAGATGGGTGAGGACGTCTTTCTTTTAGGTTATATCCAGAACATGGTCGCCATGTTGGAACAAACTCAAAGGGTGTCCTGTGACTTTTGACTCACCCTGTACTTATCAACAAGCACAAATGCAGCTCGTAAAGCACCAGGAAGCAGGTAGAGAACAGGTGTCTTACTCAAGGACACCACAGCATCTGAGCATGGCAGGGACTCAAACCTGCAACTCTCTGGTCCCAAGTCTCTGCATTGCCACTGCCACAGCTTTTTCTTATATTTTTTATTTTCTTAAACATGAGTCTGTCTTGTCTTGTTGATCCAGCATGAAAATGATATAATGCTAACTAAATAATGAACAGACCTGTTTGGCAGTGAGGAAAATGAAGGTTTTTCCAGTAAAAAGCTGCCTGCGAGCTGGGACTGGTCCAAGGTTAACGTCTTCATTACTCAAGCTGGGCTCATCAAGCAGCGGGAGGAAACTAAAACACAAACACAACAAAGCACAGATGAGCTGATGCAGCTAGCGTCAGTGAGCATAAAGAAACAGGAGCTGTGTTGTACCTCTCTGCTTTGGGAGGCAGCAGTTTGTCCTCAGCAGACCTGCTCAGCTCTGAGAAGAACTCCGGCTTCARGATGGGACGAGCACACAGCAGAGCTGAAATAGTCTGATTACAGGAAATACAAAGGGAGGAGTTCAGAACATGAACACAGTCAGAACAGAACATGACAGGAGTTCAACTCTGACCTTAATGGTGACTTTAACAGTGGGCATGACCAGGTGTGTGCAGTCAGGAGTCCAGGTGTTCACCAGCTTCCCCCCCACAGCTGACAGCACCTGAGTGAGCAACGCCTTCCCAGCACTGTCCAGACATGACGAACACACCACTGGCTTCTGGTGGGACACACTGAGGCACAGAGCAGACAGGACATTTTAAATATCACTTTATCATCAACACATCATTAAAAATAATATTTATATATATACTGTATATACAGTATATATTGTATTTATTTCTGCTACCTACGTGAATTTGCTTTCAAAAACCCCAAATGTGACAGCGTCCCCTGGCGACAGATGTGTTGGTGCCGTTAGTTTGRGGTTGTTGACAAATGTGCCGTATTTAGAGGAGTCTTTTACTGTCAGGGTCTAAAACACAAAAAGAGCAAGAAATGAAATATATCCATCAAATAAAACCTCCCTCCAATTTCTGGTCAAATTAAACATTTTTAAAAAGGAAAAATAAAGATTATTGCGCAACAAAGTGTAGTTTTTATTTAATATTAAATAAACCAAGCACATAATCTTGTGATTTTGTAGTTTAATAAGTTATTTAATTGATAACAATCAAATAAACAAATAATTTATAGTTGGTGACATTTTGAAATGTTTTAATTGATGTTTGTGAAGAACAACAAAGTGTGTAGTAATGTTGTTCTGCACAGTTTGATGGTTTTTACACTTTCTTTTCTTTTGAAAGTTTCTGCAGGATTTGAAGTAGAGAGCAGGTGCAACAGCACCACCTTCTGTGTTAAAGTGTAATCACACACATGAAGGATCACCTTCTTTTAATCACTATTTCTGTGTGCATCATTGCTACAACTCTGTCATTTGGAATAAAAATAATCTGTGAAAAAAATGTTATAGGAAAGAAAAGTCCTTAGTGAACCCCCATGCTACCATAAAATATGACGCATTTATATTTTAT